TTTTCAAAATTATACAAACTAGCATACTTGCCTAAATGATCAATTTAAGCATTTCTAAAAATCTGCCATATATATATATACGCAAGCATTGTGAAATAAATAGAATTTTTACTAAACACATTTTTGTTGTATTTCACAAAGTCAATAACTTAGTCAGTCAGCTACAACGTAGGACCAGGCACATATATACATCGGTCCAGGTTGCCATACCTCATTAGCACAGCAAGATGAACACCGGATTCATAGTAGTTAATCCAGTGGTGGTAATATATAGGGGAAAGATTGTATATAAGGATATAGTATAGGAAGAAAGAATTGCTTAGTAGAAAGAAAGATATGAAGTGATTTTAACCTCTTAGTTTAAGGAAAGACAGGGAGTGTATACACCAACGCCATTGTGATCGATTCTGAGCCATGTCACCAAGAGTCTCCAACCATTGGTTACGACAGTCACGCAGACCCCAACCAAGTAGTATGCATCTACCAACACGGCTCAGACTAGAAGTTAGTGTCTTCAAGCACTGATGCCAAGTTTAGGTTTGGCCGCCCCTAATTTTCTTCCAACTATCTCTAACACCGGTTAGCATGGCACGTCGTTGTAATCGGTGTTCAGGCAAACGTAACACGTGACCCAACCATCTCAGTAGATGAAGATTCATAACCTCATCAACTGATTTACCATCATTCCCTAATACCCTGCGTCTAACCTCACTATTACTTACCCGATGATCCCAGCAAACGCCAGCAATATTTCTAAGACATCTGTGGTCAAATACTAGTAGCTTACGAGTGTCTTCTACTCTTAAAAGCCATGTTTCGCTGCCGTAAAGTAAAGCAGAATGGACTGCCGCGCAGCATACTCGTCCTTTTATTGATAGACGGATATCTCGCCTCCGCCAAAGGTGACGTAAGTTGGCAAAAGCCAAACGAGCTTTTCGAATCCGTGGTGAGATTTCGTCAGACACCAACCCATCAGGGTTGATCAGACTTCCAAGATAAGTGAAGTTGTCGACGAGTTCGACTGTTTCACTCCCTATCCTTAGTTCAGGTGTTGACGCAGACCAGTCCTGAAGCAACAACTTGCATTTAGAGGGAGAGAAGCGCATTCCAAACATCCTGGCATTCTTGCTCAGTGTTATCAAAAGACTGCATTTTATCAGTATCTTCGCCAAACAGGACTATATCATCTGCGTATTCTAAGTCGATAGGTAGACATCCTGGTGGGAGGAGTTCAATACCCGAGAATTCAGTCGACGAGAATGTAATTTCCATCAGTAGGTCTGTGATGAAGTTGAACAAAAATGGGGAAAGTGGGCAGCCTTGACGAACACCACTTGAGATTGAAAAAGCAGATAACAGTTCGCCATGAGCCCTGACTCGACTAGTAGTGTTTGAGTAAAAAGCCTTTACAAGGTTTATGTACTTCTGAGGTACGCCTTTCAATGACAGACACTGTCACAGAATCTCGCGGTCTACCGAGTCAAATGCTGCTTTTAAGTCAAGAAAGACCACCATCGTCGGACGCCGATAGGTATGCCTGTGTTCTAAAACCTGACGAATGGTGAATATGTCATCGATGCAGCCACGACCAGGTTTGAAACCAGCTTGATTCTCTCGTGTTTGCAGTTCACGAGTTTTAGTTAGGCGTCTGATAATTATCGAAGCTAGTATTTTAGATATTATATTAGTTAAACTAATCCCTCTGTGGTTGTCACAGGATGATTTTGACCCTTTCTTATATATTGGGACGATAAGTGATTGCGACCAGTCAGATGGGATAAAGTCTAATTCCCAGATCTTAGCTAAAATATTAGTCAACCTAATCGCTAAAATTGGACCACCATCCTTAAAGACCTCTGGAGCCAGTCCATCTGGACCAGCTGCCCTTCTTCGCTTCAGAATAACTATAGCCTTTTGAACTTCAGCAAGAGTTGGGGGATCTACTTCAATGTTCCATTCACACTGTCTGGGAATGGAGGGTAGTTGTAGAGTAGCTGAAGGCCAGCTGAACTGTTCTCTGAAATGTTCCGCCCATCGTTCTAAACGTCTGGACTGGGAGCAGATGAGAGTATCATCTTTTTCCGAAATAGTCTGACTTACACTTGACTTATTAATTCCAGTTTCTTTTATTAGTCTGTAAAGCTGTCTTGTGTTCCCTATAGTCGCCGCCTTTTCCATCTCTTTTGATTTCGTTACCCACCACTGCTCACGGTCGTTCCTTAGACTTTTTCTTAACCTAGATCTGATTTGTTTACGCTCTTCATCATGTTCAGAGCCTGATGGGACGAGCTTGCGAGAATCCATCAGTGTGACAGACCTTGAAGAAATCCACTGGTTCCTTGCAACTCTGTGGTTTAAGTCACTAATAGATGTCACTGCTGTTTCCACAGCTGATTGTATGCCCTTCCAAGCAACATCTGGGTCAGCCTCGTCTTCACAACTACCTAAGTGTGACCTCAGTTGTTCCCGGAACCTACTTTTGGTTTTCTCGTTACTCAACTCAGTTCTGTTGGGTCTTTTTAATGTGGCTTTTTTGCGTCCAGTGAGGCGCAAGCAGATGCGTGCCCGCATTAGGGCGTGGTCGGAGTCCAAGCAGGTACTCCAGAATGAGCGACAATCTTCTACCGACCCTCTCCAACGATGACTGATGGCAATATGGTCTATTTGAGTCCATCGTTGGTTTGGCGTAGGGAGTCGCCATGTTAGACGATGTCTCTCCTTATGCTTAAACTTTGTGTTTGCTAAAAATAAACGATTGTCTGAGCACAGTTGTAGCAGACGATTACCATTATCTGTTCGCTGTGCCGGAATGCTAAAATATCCACTTAAATGCCTTTCTGTTTGGTTTAAACTGCCTATCTGAGCATTAAAGTCACCCCCTATGAGTACTATGTCTGAGCGTTTAGCTTTCTGAAAAAGTTCGGACAGCTTTCTGTAAAATTCATCTTTCACTTCATCTGAGCTGCAGTCAATGGGAGCGTAGGCAGAAACGACGAAAGGGCAACGACGTATATCCCTATCCTTCCGAGTTCTTACGGAGCCGTTTAACCGAACAGCACATAGACGACTGTTAACGGGGATCCACTCTAGCAGTGCTTGTTCGGCCCTCATGCTTAGTGCTATGCCTACTCCTGCCAGTCCACGAGAACTGGCCATCGGGTCACCAGATACACGGAGGGTGTATCTCGTTGGCTCTCCGTTTTGCCGAGGTGAGGTCAAGTGAATAACCACACTGGAATCCTGTATGCGTGTTTCGGAGACACAGCACACGTCAATGGAAAGAGACTCTAGGGTTTTAGCCAAGGAAGCCTGCTAACCGATTTGACATGGGATGCGTACGTTGATGGGTCCAATGTGTAGTTTGGATCGAGGTTTCAGTAGACAGTGTTTTGAGCACTAGAATCGTTGGCAATGGTGACACTTGAGGAAGCCGAAAAAGGAAGTTTAGATGTGAAAGTTGATGTAGGAGGAATAATAGGAAGTGAAGACGGAGGTTGATTATGAATACAGTGGTCTTGAGTGCTGTTAGAGGTATGAGGGCGGTTATCACTTCCCGGTTGCCCACACCGTGGAAGGGTTGTTCTGGAGGTACCTGAAAAAGAAATTGGATTAGTGTTGGTCTTAGTGACCTGGGAGCGTGACCGCGGTGCCCAAGGGACAACTGCTTGAGGTCGGTCACACACGACCTTTTTATGGGTAATTTTCGTGTTAGCTCCGTACTTGTTGAGACCTTACCGCCGGAGACAGATATCCGTGGGATAAGGTGAGGTGTGCATTTTTAGGGCCGACCGTTTCTAACCCCACCCCTCCTTGTGGGAAGGCAGCATTGCTGTCATGCTGGTTGTCTGAAGGAAACACCTTACTGCTGTCACACCTCTGTACAGTCAGCAGTACAACTTCGCCTTCGGACCTTGGGTTTAACTTACAGCTCTTTTGAAATTGGTCTATGGTTGTAAATAGAAGGCAGTTGATTCTTCAGTAAGTAAACAGAACTATTATTGTAATATTCAAACTATTGTTATTATTGTTGTTGCAGTCAACATTAATTATTCAATTTTTCAAAAAAGTAATTCCTTTTCTATTTCGTTGAGTTAATTCAGAAATAACCACTGACTACCCCGACGTGCGATATTTTATGGTGTGGGTGTAGGTTGGAAGAAAGCTAGGGGCGGCCAAACCAAAACATGGCACAAGTCCATGAAGTCACTGACAAGTGGTCTGAGTCATGTTGGTAGGTGTAGACTACCTGGTTGGGGACCACGAGATGATAGCAACCGATGGTTAGAGACCCTGAATGACATGGCTCAAAATCGTTTGCAATGGCGCAGGTGCATACACTCTCTGTGTTCTCCCAAATTTTGATTTCCTTATTCCTCCTTGTCTCTTTTTTTTCTCTTCCCAAATTTATTTCACTGTATTATACTCTTTAAGTAACATCTCCAAACACTAATCTTCCCGATTACTGCTTATACACTTACCACTACCACTACGGGATTCGAATCGACAATTGTATCTCTGTGCTAATGTAGTATGGCAACTCGAACTGATGTACGTGCGTACGAAGTTCTACGTTGTTACTGACTGACTAATCAGAAATAAAACAAATTGAATTCAGTGTGATTTTTTATTTTATTTTCCACTTCTTATTTTACAGGAAAATGACTAAATCTTATGGTAGCTCAAATATAATGATGCAATTTCTTAAGCGTTCAAATAAAGATAGTACTTGTGATCAAACAAATCCTGGCAACAATTCTAGTTATGATGTTTCACACAAGAATATTGATGCAATAAAAAAAGAGGAAGCAAATCAATAGAATATACATATACATTTATATTTCCTTTATTTTTAATCAAAATAAATTTTTCATTACTAAGCATTTATTAAATCTCAGATTAAAATTTTGGCACATCATATAATATAAATAATCTTGTTTTCGAAAAGTTATTTTAAAAGAAAAAAGCAAATAAATGAATATATTATTAGTCCGATACAAAAGTTATTGTTTCTCTTCATCATCCAGTTCATTTGTTGGAGTTGGTGGATCAGTAAATTCATCGTCATCATCACTACCATTATTATTGTTTACATGTTCAGTTAGTTCATTGTTTTGCGTCGCCGACATCGCACTGCGAGCATTATATATGTGGCGCTTTAATTGACGACCAATAGTTGAACGTAAATTTGATGGTCCTAAGCGGCTAGTATTATCTCTTACCTAATGACGCAAAAATCAAGAAAGAATTGAAGATAATTGTCAATTCTATAATTTGTTGTTGTGTAACTAGTATAAAATTGTTTCAACAGACTTGATTAGTATAGGATAAAAGCTATGAAACTTACAAAAAAAGATCAAGTACACAGTCGAAATAATCGATTGATTATAATTCTGTGAACAGATAGAATGTTTTAAAGCCTAAAAAGAATCGACCTGGGATAAGTAGACCCAACTTTATTGAGGGTCCTGGTGGACTAAATACTAACACATAGGTACTGTAACCAAAAAGTTACTCTTTGATATGTAATCAGTCAGAAAACAGATCTTATCTGCGATGTATTTTGGGATCATGTGTCCCTCAAAAATAAGAATAATTGATAATTTTTCTACAATTTGGCGACTGACTACAGATTATAATTTATTACATGAATCTAGGATCTTGTCCATGAATGTACAATGTAGACCTAATCACTAATCCAGCATACCAGTTTTGAAGAATTGCTACTAGTAGGCGTAGATATGCTTTACGTTCATAAAGGCGGCAGTTACATCAAATACAGTTAACGAATTTATGGAAGCAGGCTAAAGAATTCGTACAACCGAGAAGTTAAATGATAGTGGATTAAGATATATATATCATGTTACCTCAGAATAGAAAACCAACATATCAGCCTAGACTACCTGTATCACTTACGACATTTGCATAGCGGCATCTCGTCTACTGGTTAGTGTAGTTGTAATTAACCTACAGGTTCGCACATAATACTACGAGCTACACCATATATTATGTAAGGACTAGTAAATATTATTTAGTTGCGTAAGCCTTTTTGAGAAAACGACTACGACCTGCTTGCTTGACATTCGAACGCTTGAACCAGCAAACTATCGCTCAGCATTCATAAAATCTTGCTCCTTTATCGACGTCGAAATTTTGATATACGTAATTTATCCTTAATCCTTCCGTAAAATTACAGTTACCTTTTGTTAAGGGACACTGAAAACGAAAATTTAGTTTTTATTTTAGAAAATAGATTTCCTTGGTATGGATGCACCTCCCGTATACGATCTCAAAAGATAAATGTTGGAGATGAAAGTAACTGAAAAATGCGAACATGCTAAGTGTTATAACATATCACAACTGATTATCCTCTCATTCTTTTCACGTTTCAAAAAGATTTATCTCAACAGTCGAGTCGTTATCTGGAAATTGCGTAGATTGCTAGGATGCAACTACGGATTTGTAATTGCTTATCCACCTTCAAAATGAGTCAGTCAGTCAGTTACAATGTAGGGCCAGGGACATACATGCATCGGTCCAAGTTACCTTCAAAATGAATAGAAAAATGTTTGAATAAAAAAGTTAGAGTTACATGTTAAAATGTTTACTAAGTGAAAATAATAGCTTACATTTGGTTCCGATGATTTAGTACTCTCAGGATTACATGGATTATAATAAAATGAGGCTCTTTTACGCCTCTGACGAATATGTGTGTATACATTTTGGATGAGTTTTACATCATCATACCGAAAATTTGAATCGAAAATTCGTTTTGGATCATCAAATTTTAACTTGACTGTAGGAATTCTGGAACCCGTATTTACGAATTTCAAGTCAACTAGTGGAAAGCACATTATTTTATTGACCACTCCAGATGGTAGGGTTTTGTACATTCTATGCCTATCTCTTGAAGAATCACGTTTCCCGCTACGAAATGAACCTAGGCCTTGCGAAAGAGATGATTGTCGACGCGATTCTTCTGTGCAGTTTTGATTACTTTGACTCCATGGAAAATGAGAATTAATTGGTGTAGGAGGTAGAGCATTAAGATTATTCACTAACCCACAATCACTACTACACTCATTATTACTATTATCTTCGTTTGAAACAGGATCAGATGGCAATCGGTTTGTTTCTGGTTGGCTCACTAACAAATATAAATCTGCAAGTGAAGAAGTTAATTAAATGGACTCAGTGGTCTTCATAGAAATCAAATCAAAAATTACTTATGTTCAAAATACCAGTTATATTTATTATCAAGTGCATCGAACTTGTTATACATAATCTCCAAAGATTTCAATCGTAACTTTAAGAAAAATGATAATGTAATCCGAAAATGTAATTTATAATTACCAAAATGTCGTAGTGTCCTTAGACCTGAAACACTTGTCAATTAAAGGCCTCTATAAACCTGTAAATTAACACAAGATACCTAGGGCAGCTAGCATTCATACAACTATTCTTTGCAAGCTGTTGATAAATCTATCAACAGATTTGAAACGAAAATTCACTAAATACCTGTTGCGTATACAATTCTGTAAACGTTTGAATGGACATAAAATCGAACTATCTTAAAACTTAACTTATTCTCAGATTTATCAAAACTAATGTAATTTGAACTGTCATATACACCAAATTCAAATACCATATAATTATTGTCTGTTCACACTCAGTTCCTTTGAAACCCACTAGAATTTTCCATCATTGGTTGTTTTCATGAAAAAATAACCCAGATATTCACCAAGATCTGAGATAATGTGTAAAAAAAATACCGTGTTACATAGAAAATCTATTTTAGAATGAACATTCTTGCGTATGTAATTGGAAATTCATCCTACGTAACAGGAATGTGTATTTTCTAGGTTTCTTCTCAAGATTCTGGTCAAAACGCAAACGAATATATATATATATATATATATATATATATATATATATATATATATATATATATATTTCAATAAACACATTGAAACCTGACAAAGCAAAACAACGAACTATCACTTACAATTATTACAATTTTGCAATAGGACGCGCAAAGGATTCGGAAGGTATTCTAAACACAACAGCAAGTAAAAAATACCAAATATTCGGTTCTGGAGCACATCACACGCAACAGTTAAATGCAAAGTAATGCAACTCAATATGATAGTACAATTTTATGCGCTTATCAATAAGTTAATGAGGGCTAGAAATTTATACAGGCTCCTCAAACCGAAGTAAAATATATAAAACATCACATTTAACACAGTTTATGAGCTTAAACCACTACTGAACCCCAGCTTTGTAAAAAAAACACCAGTAGCGTCATACCAAGTGCAAACATGCAAAATACATGCGTTAAAAATTGACATGTATAAAACAGACCACTGGAAACAAGCGCTCAACTTATTTAAGCAACTAGGAAACGTTGGACAGCTGTTTCGTCCTAATATGGGACTTCTCAGCAGCGCGTATCCACGACCCCATCACAAATCGAACCCAAGACATTCAGGCCTCGCATAGAAAACTTAACTTTTAAACTGCTGGACGGGTATCTAATGATCGACGGGTTTAACTCCAGCCAGCTCGCGATATCGTCGTCTTCAGTGGATAACTGAATCATACTTGAAACGGTTGGACTGCAGCTTTTCACTGGAGAACCGAGAATTTCTTCTCGAAGTTAGTTATTGATGAACACATGTTAGTTATAAGTATGAGGATTTGTGGAGGTTGTTGGACTGATTGAACTTAGGTACGCACTAGGACGAAATAGATATCCATTGCTTCCCGGGTTTTCGATGGCTGTGTAATTATGATCGCTTCGTAATTTCAATAACGTTCAACAATCTCTAGAAGTTTCAACAGTAATAATTTATTTGTATCATTTGCTAGTATTCTCGCATGATACAACTACGTACAGTGTGTGCCATCATTCTATTCTTAGATTATGCCTCTTATTGTATAAATGACGCTCTAATCTCTCATAATACGAGACTATATGTGTACATTTATTTACAGTAATAGTTCCATGCTTGCAAGCAAATCTTAAGTTATGCATTTTTACGTGTAACTCGGTCATTGGGTTAAAGTTGTTGCATATATGTTTTGCGAATGATGATACTATAAACAGTTTAATATTTACGTGATATACAAAAATTTCGCACAGATAACATAATATTTTACAACATCAAAAATGTGTAGGTATTGTGAATGATACGTTCTTTTTACTGTTTGTCGCCAGGACAAATTAAACACTATTGAGCGATAGTAAAGCAAGTTATGAATACAACAAGTATCCTTCATGCACACATGCTTCGCAATGCGTCTCCATCAACTTACAAAATTTGAATCGCATTTGTTAACATTCTAGTAGCATGAAAGACATTAGTCATCAAAAAGTAAATATATGTATAATACCATTATAAACTATATTGGGATAAATTGGTAAATTTAGATTCATGACTCCAGGTCAAAGAGGTAGGACACCTGTCCGTGGAATTCCTTATCGATGTTCAATATCTAACATTTTTATGCTCATTCAGTGTCTGAATGCAGAATACAAGAACACAACTTTCACTAAGGATTTCATTTAAATCCTAACTTTCACTTCACTTGACTTCTTCATCCAGTAAACTGGAATGTGATACAATAAGGTGTTCACAGAAGACACATGTAAATAGCTTTAGATCGTTAACACGAATTCTCCAGTAAAAATAACAGTTATAAGCAGCATTGATACATTAAATAAACGGAAAAATGGCGGATATTGCTCATTTTCTTAACACTGAAAAGATGATGTTCATCCTCACGCTAGTTCTATAATAGCACAATTTTGTAGTGAATAGCCGGAATAACAAACCAGAAGGGAAGAAGAACCTATATATAACATCATAGGAATAGTCAGTATTTGACTATCCATGGTATAATACTAGATGTTTTACGGTATATATTGAGACAAAGAATGGTCTTAGTATCAAATAACATATTATTTGAAAATGTGATCTATACCACATGAAATAATTATCCACAGACTGCTGTTTTTCAGATTGTGACTGACAGTGTTTCAAATTCAGGTAATAACTTATTATCAGTCAAGCCCAATCTATGAATGGGTAATATCGTCTTGATACGAAATGATGGTCTCCAAACAAACAGAATATAAATCTCACAAAGTTTATTGATAGTTTTATGCCTTATGACAGAAAATAAATAGATCATTCCATTGTGCCTGCTGACCATTCTTTAATAGCTCCTCAGAAATTTATTGTCATACTCGCGGATGCTAATAAGAAATTAGTTGAATTTTGAGAACAATGAGACAAATATCAAATTCTCCTACGCAGTGTTGGTGAGTAAGTTACAGAGATAGCTGTCAATTCTGTTTATGTACATTAGCTTACCATAATAGATGATTAAATCAATATTGATTTGGAAGCACGCATCAAATGTTACAACAATGATTATAAGAAAGTCAAAACGAAACAAACCAAATCTATAGGCTAAGGGCAATTGTGAGTAACAATCCTGCAACGACACAAGGATGAACACTCACTTGCTAATGCCTCCTTTTCTTTAGGCAGATAAGTGCTTGGTAACCGTCCACAAAAATCTCGTATATCAGTTCTAGCTTCTATATAAAAGCAGATAAATAATACATGATCAAGTTGAAACTGTGATTCGCTAATTATTCTTATTTATTATAGATAAAAGTTTGGTACAATAGAACACCTGGAAGTGATTCACATAAGGCGGAATGACAATTTTATATTGAGTTTAAAACAAAAGGAAATACTACACTATTTATAGTAATAAGCATTGAATTGAAAACAAACAAATAGCTAACATAAACGTAATTATTTTCTCCATTACCATATTAAATTCATTATTCTTGAATCAATGATGGATAAAGTATTCATTTGGAACGTATTTATAAGAACAGTGTCAAGATATATTTAAAAAGATGGTAGCAATTACTTTAATAAGATGACAATTTTTGTTACAGACTTTTATTCGTCAATTCAGCTCAATTACTAATCCATACTTCCCAATCCCTGACCCATCAAGTGCACAAGGTGAGAAGAATAAGTGTGTAGGAAGCTGCATCACTAAAAGCCCACTGAATACGCACAAATATAAATTGTTGGACTAATTCAGATATGAATATATGGGTATAAACATTAAATAAGGCTACTTGATCACAGTACTTTCATTCACACTTGGATTTCGATATACCATGTAGTCTCGCAATAACATGTGATCTGTCTAGGATTGCCCACTATCAAACTGATATCAGATGGAGAACTAATGAAAACCAAGATGTAATGAACAGTTGTTCTCCAACAGTTCCGTTATAGTTTGGAACTTAACAGCACATGATATGTCTATAGCCGTCCACACTATCACACCACATTGAGTAAATATATACAGACTAGTGTAGTTCTTAAAATAATTTCAAATCATAGCTTTCATTACTACAGTGAAAATCAATTCCTGATAATAAGGTCAGGAAAAAAAGAGAATTAGACTAAAACTAGTAATTCGAAGAAGTTGTTCCAAACGGTTTATAAATAATTACTGAAAATGATAGCGGTAAATGAACAGACGCACTTACTGTACACGGAAGTTAATAAGAATATAACATCTTCATTCCCGTTGGCAGCGGCCAAATGTAAAGGAGTCATACCCTACAACAAATTATATATATTATTCATTGACAGAAATATATACATAAATCGATCGGATTTATTGGTAAGATTTACTACGTATATAACTGAGGAACTACAATATAGAACATATTATAAACTGTTTTGCATTTGAAAGATTAATAAGCACAAACATAAATAACACTAACTGTTTATAACTACTTACCTCCTGTGGAAATGAAAGCAGTAACATAGAAAGAGAAATGAAAACAGAAAAACACAATTAAGATATTCTATTTTTTTTAAAACAACATATGAGTTTGAATATTTTGTTTAGTTATTATAGTTGCGTTAATAAAAGTTGGGTAATTTAGACATCACTCTTGAATACTTGATCGGATAGGCGTGACATTATCCGTATCGGGACCATGATAGTTTCATATACACGACTTTCTGTTAGATCATCAGAGTACAATAGAATTCGATCGACTTGTAGTTTGGACATTTTTATTTGAGTTCTTTCGGATATAAGTAATTTTTTTAAGAACCAACGTGAACTGGAGTAAACCATTGAGATTCAGGTAACCCTGAATAGCTATTTCGACATGCACATATCATTACATAATCAATGTTAACCTATGCTTCTTTTAGTCTGAATACTGAACACTTCCAGTAATTTAAATCTAATGTACATGACTGATGTAGTTTTAATACTGAATGCCATTAACTTCCAGAAAGAGAAGTGGAACAATAAAACATTCGTATTTCAATCTTTGTGTAAGGATATTTATTGACGCAGAATACTCACATATCAACAATTCTACAACAATACTAAAGTATTTAAATATTGTGCACACAAAGAAAAAATATGATGACAATTTACTTTAAAATCTTTTATTCAATTAGCTTTTCTAATTATCTACCATAATTTACTCTTAGATAATGTATTATTTTTTGGGTGAGTGTACATACTTTACATTTTATATAGGACAAACGAAACCGAAAAAAATGTTGCTGTGTGTAATAATTACTAGTCAAACAGACAGTCATCATTAACATGGAATGATATAAGTTGCTATACTATATTAGCACTACGAGATGAAAAATAACATGATAATCTGCAGAGGATATAGGAATAATGTAGTAGTAACGACAATAAGAAAGGTTAAACAGTAGGAAAAGCGATACGATGCCGGAAAATAAATAAGGTCCGAACTGATTGGAGAACACATGACCTACAAGCTAGTTTCCTCCAACCACCCATAGCATTTTATTGTGTTCACTTTGTGCTCACATTTCGCATACAAGAATGCTATTTTATTACATGAAAAAACTCATCTGGTTAATGGCATTGTCTTCGGTTTCTAACTACCTAGGGGTCCAAGTCAATTATGGTTTTATAAGTACCCATCACTGGATTATATTATACCATTGTGGCTAACTAATGATTATCATTCTACTCATCAATTTTGACAATTGAGAATTTCTTCACTAAAAGCTATCTTCATAGCAAAAAGATAGAGTGGAAAGGTATGTATGGAGCAATACTGGAGTTCAAAATCGAAAAGAAGATATGGAGTGAACGAATCTGGACCATTGTGAACTGACCGAGTTTATCACACAGACTTCAACCAGGTTCTCAGATCTTAAACATGTCACAGTCATATCAGCTGACGTAGCTTTGCAATCTCACCAACCGATTTGCCTATCTTGCCTGGTACCATATACCCAACTTGAATATTTCTAAATCGTTCGTTCCACAGAAAGTGGGCAATGTTTCAAAGATACTGTAGCCTGTAGCCTAATTTGTCTTCTACTTTCACAAACCATGTTTCACAACAGTAAAGTAAAACATACAAGACTGCTGCTCAGTATACACGTCTATAGGTTTGCAGACGGAAATCGCGTCTACGCCAAAGTGACTCAAGTAGGCAAATGCCAAATGAGCTTTCTCAATTGGTGGGAAGAATTCGTCAGATGTTGGCCTTTACTACTTCACTCTCTATCACTAGTTCGGGTGTTGACACAGACCAGTTTTGAAGCAAAATTTCGCATTTATGGGGAGAGAAACTTATCCCAAACATGCTTGCATTATTGCTCTTGTAAATGAAAAGACTATATTTTGTCAGCGTCTTTACCAAATAGGACTATATCATCTGCATTTTATAAGTCATAATAGGATGAACCGTAAACACGTAATACATAAAACTTACACATGACTGAGCATCAACTTGAACATGGTAATTTCCAAGTAACAATCGGATAGCAGCACAATCTCCATATTTAGCTGCATAATGTAGTGCAGTCTGAAGATCGGAAAAAACGCAAACACGGTTCGCCCATTAAAAGGTAAAAATAGTTCCTCAAAAGTAAATTAAACATGGTTAATAAAGTATATTTGAATATTTTACCGAATTGGGTTAGTGTATTAATTTCTACTGAAATGATCGTTAGTAAAGTTTCAGTAGATATACAGAAGATCCAGCTAACATTTAACAACGACTAAGGCTTGCTGTACCGGTCAGATGCCTACCTAACAATTGAGTCCCGCGCATGCGGTTTAGGTGCAATATTCTTAATTTATGACTACTAGGCATCAATAATAAAGACATCAGACATAAAATGACTTTGGATATTTAATAAAACATGCTTCTGAAATATCCCTTGTGTGTAGTTAAAAAGCATATCTATTCACAAGGTTACAAACAAGCATCGACAAAACCCAACGCGTTAGTAGGTACCATACAACTAAGGTTGACTTTTACATAGTAAAAGTAGCCTGATATTCAATAAACAGACAAATGACAATAAATCATAAAATATTGAGGTTTAACCGAAGAAGCGTAGGGATACAATTGAATAGTTTGATGTCAGGAGACAACATAAAACACGCGATGATCACCGATATTACAATCTGGTTTTCTTTAACTATTTTCTTCGTGGCTTTTTATATTTTTCTACTGATTCATTCTAACACCTTCTGCTCTTCTGAACTTCTTTGTCTTTTTTTTAATGCCGTGACATTGTTCAGTAACCTTACATCCCAAACTCAATATTGCTTTAATCAGTTAATGTTACATCCCTTACGTAATTACGGCAGAGTACGGTATAAAACTATCGGCACTCGAAGGTGCAGAACCCCAGTTGCAAATCGAAAGAAGCTGGGGAAGCGATTGTTGAGTAAGAGTCGAAAATGTACAGAAAAACAAGGATACCTATAGTTTTCATTATAAGCTATAACATTGTTATAATCCAGCCAACATTCAAATAGGAAAGCTATATAATTGTCTAATCACAGCATGTTACGTTGATATTCTAGAAGGTTTTGACTGGATGGGATCACTTCCGTTCCTTTAAAGCCTATGGAAGCTCTTTCATGCTTTCTGGGAGCATTCCAACAGTTAAAGTATCTAAATAAGAGCATACTGGAACCAATACATAAGCTGTATATACTTTTTTACTTTCTGACAAAATAAACAGTATGAACTAGATTCATAATTTTGATAATTTGATTTTACTTCAGTAAACTTATCAAAGATTAGGTGAATTGAATAACTAACTACTACGATAAAATAGTAACTTGAAGGAATGTAAACTTCTCAAATGTGACGTGAAAACTTATATATACAATAGCGTAAATTCATTCGTAAATAAAAGCACGCACAAATAAATACTTCTACTACACTGCTAAATAACCAGTACATAACACTATAATATACATCACCAAGGAACATATATGAATATAAATACTTACATACTGTTTTTCAATTGGATTTTTCATATTCGCCATAGATTAAAAATAGTATTCAAAGATAAGAAGAAAAGTGAATTGGTTATGAGTGAGAATAAAAAAATGGAATGTTGTACGATTACTATAAGACATGATGAGATTAATTAGTTCTTAATATCACACGACAACATATAGGAACTAAAACAACTTTTATTGTTATAACATTTTGTATGCAACAGGAAATGTATCTATTTCTAAGATTAACAAGTAATTAAGATTTAAATAAAAAGGTAATATGTTGAAAAACTGTTGTACTATTGTCATCATAGGAAAAGATATGAACATATCAATAAATATTCATTCAATGAGTAATGTTAAAATAAAGAAACTATGTCAATGTATTCACCAATTCTGATTATGTAACTTTAAAAGTAGTTAATTAAAAAGACAAATTTTGATCGAATATAATTCACTAACCGAGTACAGGTCAAAGTACTTGGTTCCCCAAAACACACATATTACGTAAAGCGTTTGTAATATTATGTGTTACATCGAAGCATGATATATATATATATATATATATATATATATATATATATATATATATATATATATATACTTTTAGGGGATTTCAATAAATTGGGAGCCTATTGATTTCCATGATTTGTACTTGAAAAAGTAAATTATAAAATGAATGTTACTCAAGTCATAATTGACGTAGGGCCTGGCACAAACGTTAACAAACCACATAACTACGACTACAGAATATTAAGGAGACGAATATCAAATAATTTGTGACAATGTGCTAGGAATGATAGAGAGGAGTTCATAGAGGCTCTCAGAAGTAGCAACAGTATCAGTAATTGTAGAAAATAGTGGATATAGAAAATACGATCCCAGAAAAATACAAACCCGTGGGATAAAAAGGCATAAGACAGTTTCGGAACTCATGATCTAAGTGGCAACAACAACTGAATGCATCCACGCTATCTCGCTTGATATTGAGGCATAACAACCATGGTTACGATAAGCGCGAACCCTAATCACATAGTCTGGAAGTATTAACATGACTCAAACCAGTAGTCATTAAATTCAACCTAAATTTACCGCACAAGCTTCTAATCTAACTTCACACCAGCCAACAATTCATATTATGGCAGGTGGTGGTAGATGATAGATAATACATTTTTTAACTAAATCAGTTGATGGGGATTTACAATCTCATCAATTAAATTGTTATCTTTCCCAAGTACCCTAGGCCTAACCTCAGAAGTGTTCACTTGGTCATTCTACGATAAGCTAGTAATATAATTCAAAGAAACTTATGATTAGAAATATTACTTGAAAGTATTTTTATTCAAGTGAACCTTGAATGTGTTACAGTATTACTATAAGCGAAGTTATTCCACAGAAAATTAGGGAAATATACAACTTTATGTAAAAAATAAGGTGTGTCGGATTGGGAATTATTTGCTTTCCGAAGAGGTAGCTTACAAAAAATCGTAAAGTCAGAAAATAATTCTCAGGCTGTTTCATAAATACATATCAGCTACGATATCGAAAGGACTGTAATCTTCTTTTATTTCTAACTATTGAGCACAATTCCAGTTTTAATCATGTAATAGAACTAAAAAAATAAATTTTTGTATTTTATCTTAACTAATAAGTTTTATACAAAATACTTTTTTACTTACGCCATTGATACTAGTCTAAAAAAACAAACAAAAATAATTGACAATCGAATAGAATCGAAATACACCAACATTGTATGCATGATCATATGAGACCACAAAAAAGTTGTACACAATCAGACACGTAAAGTATAAATAATTATTCTTAAATAATGATTGAACAGCTAGAAAATCAATATACTACAACCCAACCAGTTGGTTATATATGTTTCATGACAAACAGATAATTAAATGGTGATGGTATGTCAACTGAAATTACGAGAATATAGTAATTTCAAACAAATTATAACACATTAAAAGTATATTCTCATATTTACCGCCTATTTACACACACAAAACACACTTAAACAGATATCAGGACAGTAAAACAACCTGTTGACGTATGTTGTAATAATCATATAAGAATTAGAGCCATTAATCAGATAATAGTGATTAGATCTTCCAAACTAACACTCTAGAAGCATTATCATAAAATTTTTATGCAACCTCGAACTAGTGTTTTTTAATGCTAAATCTCGTGTAGCAGTAAATAAATCCCCAAAAGAAATGGCTCTGTAAGTCTTCGACATTGGATGCTGATCACATTAGTTTCAATGGACTCACTTAGCTGAAGGCGCTCGGTCATGCATCCGCACCAGATCACGAGTGGGGACGCCGTGCTCAACAACCCCTGCAACCGCTAGCCAGATTAGATCAGACGATCCTCGATATATTGATAGCCCATCAAATATACCTTCGAACCTCCTCGCTTCTGTCTTTTCATTTCACTTGGTGGGTACGATTCATGTTAGAAGATGTTACTGGTTAAAGCGTTGTCCAACTCCGAATACCTGTGGCATCTTCATTGGTGAGCCTGACGTGGTCTGGTACGCCAAATTGCAAACTGTGAGTTTATTCCTTTTAGGGATTTTATATATCATTGCCTTACTCTGATTTTTTATACATTGTGATATTTGTTTCGTGTTTTTGGATATATATTTTTTTCACTCGTTCATTCTCGTACTTGATATTTCACTATGACTGAACAGACACCCAAAGTACTTAAGCTAAGGACTATGTCCCCATCTTCGTTCCAACTAATGCCCTTCTGACCAGACAACATCGAAGCGGATGCATGACCGAGCGCCTTTAGCTAGGTGAGTCCATTGAAACTAATGTGATCAGCATCTAATGTCGAAGACTTACAGAGCTATTTATTTTGGGGATTTATTTACCGCTCCCGTTTTTATATGAAGACTGTATTTTTCATCACTGTTAAAAGCACACTTATCCGTTACTCTTTGTTGGCATCACAGTACGTCACTTTTTAACTGTATTTCCAACGTCATATTATATATATATATATATATATATATATATATATATATGTTTTTACTGTATAATTAGTAACCAACCAGGCCAGATATATTTATACCTCTTTTATCACATGCTTTCTTTTAACCTAGTAACTGCTATTATACGATTTACCACTACTAATTTATTCCCAATCTACTACTTACAATCTCTGCTACTCACAGCTACTGTGGCTTGAACTTGTGTAATTGTTATTTTCCACTTTTTGGTTTGATGTGGTCTGGTCTGCTTGTATATAAACTACGTATGTCTAAAATATAATATTCGTATAGCAGAGGCAGATTCATTCATTCATTCATTTGATCACGTAAATATTAGTACAAAGGGGCATTGAATGCATGTGCGCTACACAAGTCACTTGTGTGTGGGCCGTGATACCACCCGGATGCCCAAATCGAAGTGAGGGGGCCACACCCGGAGCCTTTAACCTAAAGGTCTGATCCACAAGGCAATGGAGAAACGCTAGGAAATGAAGTCCTATAGCAGCCGGTGACCAGTGAATGGTTCATAGACCATTTGTTCCCTCAGGATACTGGAAACCATGTGAACCATTGGTTTGGAATCAGGGTTTTCCAACTCCCCTAGGTGGATCTTTCATATCCACCAACCCGGCTGATCAATGTATTATGGGCTCAATGGGCAGCGGGAGGTGATAAGCTACTGTATCGAGGACGAATAAGGATCCGGGGTCGATTTAGCTTACAGACAAAGTTGTGAGTGTCAGTATTTTAATTGGTCGTTTTATCAAGTGATATTAGACAGGGCCATAAGTTGTAACATGATAGATCTTGGAAAATGTCTCACATGACTAACAGCCACTTTAATATAGACTTCCCGTAAACATGAAGAAATCGCACAGCACATTCAATTTATAATTAGTTTAGATTATTGTTGTGCAATAAGATTACTTTTCTTAGTTCTATATGACAACGCAATTCTCTGAGGCTATAAATGCAAAGTAAGTCCAAATCTTATATAGAATAATATGGGTTGGTATTTTGATACAATACTGATCAGTATTTTATTAATACCGATTTGAAATGCACTTGAAAACAGCTATTAAAAATTATATACGGCTTCGTTTGAGTCTAATAATTACGGAGAACATCAAGCTAAGCACTATTCTGGATCATACATTTAGGAATATGAATTTGAACTGTAAGTGGTGTTCGTAATAGGAGAATTCTAAGAACACGACATAATTGTGCAGCACATATTCACCACCCGACCGTTGTTGCTACCTTGACGTGGTGGTCGGGCTTGCCTATCGTGATGAAGCAACCGAGCTATACTGGCTGGAACAACCGTTCCTCAAGGTCCTACCATGTCAGACAGGTCGGTTGAAGAGCGGTAAGACTAAAAGCAACAAACCCAAGATCCGAAGGCGAAGTCGTACTGCTGACTGTACAGAGGTGTGACAGCAGTAAGGTGTTTCCTTCAGACAACCAGCATGACAGCGATGCTGCCTTCCCACAAGGAGGGGTGGGGTTAGAAAAAGTCGACCCTTAAAATGCACACCTCACCTTATCCCACGGATATCCGTCTCCGGCGGTAAGGTTTCAATAAGTACGGAGCTAACACGAAAATTACCCATAACAAGGTCGTGTGTGACCGACCTCAAGCAGTTGTCCCTTGGGCACTGCGGTCACGCTCTCAGGTCACTAAGACCACCTTTAATCCAATTTCTTTTTCAGGTACCTCCAGAACAACCCTTCCACGGTGTGGGCAACCGGGAAGTGATAACCGCCCTCATACCTCTAACAGCACTCAAGACCACTGTATTCATAATCAACCTCCGTCTTCACTTCCTATTATTCCTCCTACATCAACTTTCACATCTAAACTTCCTCTCTCGGCTTCCACCTCAAGTGTCACCATAGCCAACGATTCTAGTGCTCAAAACTCTGTCCCAGGTCTACTGAAACCTCGATCCAAACTACACATTGGAGCCTTCAACGTACGAACCTTATGTCAAATCGGTCAGCAGGCTTCCTTGGCTAAAACCCTAGAGTCTCTTTCCATTGATGTATGCTGTGTCTCCGAAACACGCATACAGGATTCCAGTGTGGTTAGTCACTTGACCTCATCTCAGCAAAACGGAGAGCCAACGAGATACACTCTACGTGTATCTGGTGACCCGATGGCCAGTTCTCGTGGACTGGCAGGAGTAGGCATAGCACTAAGCATGAGGGCCGAACAAGCACTGCTAGAGTGGATCCCCGTTAACAGTCGTCTATGTGCTGTTCGGTTAAACGGCTCCGTAAGAACTCGGAAGGATAGGGATATACGTCGTTGCCCTTTCGTCGTTTCTGCCTACGCTCCCATTGACTGCAGCTCAGATGAAGTGAAAGATGAATTTTACAGAAAGCTGTCCGAACTTTTTCAGAAAGCTAAACGCTCAGACATAGTACTCATAGGGGGTGACTTTAATGCTCAGATAGGCAGTTTAAACCAAACAGAAAGGCATTTAAGTGGATATTTTAGCATTCCGGCACAGCGAACAGATAATGGTAATCGTCTGCTACAACTGTGCTCAGACAATCGTTTATTTTTAGCAAACACAAAGTTTAAGCATAAGGAGAGACATCGTCTAACATGGCGACTCCCTACGCCAAACCAACGATGGACTCAAATAGACCATATTGCCATCAGTCATCGTTGGAGAGGGTCGGTAGAAGATTGTCGCTCATTCTGGAGTACCTGCTTGGACTCCGACCACGCCCTAATGCGGGCACGCATCTGCTTGCGCCTCACTGGACGCAAAAAAGCCACATTAAAAAGACCCAACAGAACTGAGTTGAGTAACGAGAAAACCAAAAGTAGGTTCCGGGAACAACTGAGGTCACACTTAGGTAGTTGTGAAGACGAGGCTGACCCAGATGTTGCTTGGAAGGGCATACAATCAGCTGTGGAAACAGCAGTGACATCTATTAGTGACTTAAACCACAGAGTTGCAAGGAACCAGTGGATTTCTTCAAGGTCTGTCACACTGATGGATTCTCGCAAGCTCGTCCCATCAGGCTCTGAACATGATGAAGAGCGTAAACAAATCAGATCTAGGTTAAGAAAAAGTCTAAGGAACGACCGTGAGCAGTGGTGGGTAACGAAATCAAAAGAGATGGAAAAGGCGGCGACTATAGGGAACACAAGACAGCTTTACAGACTAATAAAAGAAACTGGAATTAATAAGTCAAGTGTAAGTCAGACTATTTCGGAAAAAGATGATACTCTCATCTGCTCCCAGTCCAGACGTTTAGAACGATGGGCGGAACATTTCAGAGAACAGTTCAGCTGGCCTTCAGCTACTCTACAACTACCCTCCATTCCCAGACAGTGTGAATGGAACATTGAAGTAGATCCCCCAACTCTTGCTGAAGTTCAAAAGGCTATAGTTATTCTGAAGCGAAGAAGGGCAGCTGGTCCAGATGGACTGGCTCCAGAGGTCTTTAAGGATGGTGGTCCAATTTTAGCGATTAGGTTGACTAATATTTTAGCTAAGATCTGGGAATTAGACTTTATCCCATCTGACTGGTCGCAATCACTTATCGTCCCAATATATAAGAAAGGGTCAAAATCATCCTGTGACAACCACAGAGGGATTAGTTTAACTAATATAATATCTAAAATACTAGCTTCGATAATTATCAGACGCCTAACTAAAACTC